CAGCCCTGAAGTTGGGAAGTGTCATCGTGGAGGCTGTCACAGCGGCACTGGGGAAACCACTCAAGTAAATATGCAAAGAATTAAAATAGTTAAATGAACGAGCAATGAATCAGTGTTGATAGTGCAGTGATTATTAGGAAACCCAGAGGCGTCACTGGAATCACCACTGCGTTAGACATCAAATATCTGGGATAACTAACTGGGAAGTTCTGCTCCACACCAGTTTTTGGTGATACTTGCACCAAGGTCGCCTGACCCACAATAAGCAGCAGCGTGCAAATCAGCAGTGACCCCAAACCCCCCTGCAGGTTTGCTCCACAAGTCGTGTTCGGAGCCGTACCTGGCTAAAATATGCAGTGGTGTTTTTTAAACTAATATTTACTCCTGCTAGACCTGCACAGCCACTGCGGCTCTGGGGGAGGGAGCGGGAGCTGCTCTGACTCATGGCTCAGCAGAGTTGTTAACTCGCTCCTGGCGCCTGAGCCCTCGTCCCGGTGTGCCGGGAATAGTCCACCTTGGCTTCCTGAGCTGCAGGCAGACGGCTGTGCTTGTAAAGTTGGCAAACCGGCTCAAAAGTCACTGGAAAATAAATACTTCTAATGTATTGCACTGAGGTCTGGGGGTTTTTTGTTTGTTTGTTTTTTACCCAAATTGCTTTGCAGAAGAAAGTTTTCTTTCAATAGCTTGCGCACAGATTTGGGATCCTTCCATTCTTTAGGATGCTCCACTGGCAGAAACCCCAAAATTTAAAATATTCTCGCTCATAGGCGTTCTTCTCCAATACTGTGGGAGTTGTGGCACAAGCAGACAGAGCTGCTGGGCTTGCTGGGAGAAGTTCCCTTTGCCTTGCTTGCACTGCTGTGTTCGCCTGCCTGGTGCAAAGCACATCTACAGCCCCGCAGTATAATGCTGGAACATCTTCTCTACATACTTCTGCACAAAGCCTTGATGCCTCCTTGTGCAGTCTCTTATAAATGGACTAACTGGACACTGGAAGGGGTTGTAGTCGCCTTCCTCTGGGCTTGGCTAAACAAATGCCAAACCTTCTTAAGTCTAAATTACTCGAAATATTTACTGTTGAGACGTCGTCCAAGAGGAGGATAGTTAAAACATTAATTCCTCACATTCCAGTGTATTAGGGCTTTACCCTGCGACTTGCCGAGCACCAGAAATGGAACTTTGCAGATTTGATTCCCTTCCCCCCAACTAGACAGCCACCACCTCCCCACTCCCCCCACCCAAACTTTAATGCTTTAAGAAAAGAAAAAAAAAAAAAAAAAGGAGGGAGAGAAAAAGAAAGGAATGCACATCTGGGCTAAATATTTGTTAGAAAGTATTCCCAGGATAGTGGGAGTTCTGGTGCCAGAGAGGAATTCCTGCGGGTTTGATCCATTGCATTATGTACTTGTTCCAAAAGCTGTTTTCAGTAAAATAGATGAGTAAGAAGTCTTAGCCAAGAACGGAATGTCTTTTTTGGCAACTGAAAGGAAGATAGGATTATTTTATTTCAGGTTATGTAAAAAAAAAAAAAAAAAAAAGGGGGTAAAATCCTGCACTCAGTGGTGCCTGCTGAGATTTGCAGTGGCAAGCATAGATACATATGTACATACGTATGTATATGTTTTATGTTTTTTCCATGCTGCTGTACACATTTTGAGGACTTCTTTATAAGATGTCAGTGTGGATTTAAGATTGCTTGCAGCATTACTGCAATTAAAATATCCTCACTGTGTCTGAACTGGCCTCTGGGTTTTTTGGCTGAGTGGCCAGTGGTTTCAGCGACATGGCAGTGTCCAAATCGCTTTGAATTCTGAATTCTGCTCCCAAGTGCTGGGGTAAGAAGGGGAAGAGAGGATCATCTTTGCCTTGACAGCAAAACCCCTGTCTGGAGGATATTTTGAGGGTGGATGCAAATAGACACCAATGGGTGCAGCCCCACTACATTGTGTATAGCTCCTGAGAAGGATTTCAAAATTCAACCTGGAAAACGTCTCAGCCATAAATCCACAAAGAGGGGAAGGCTTTCTGGGGGAAAATTAATGTGTTTTGGCTGGTGGGCAGCAGGTTCACCATTTTTTTTCCCATTAATTGAGAATCATGTTTGCACGATGCCTACTTTGCATTAAGAAAACAATAGGTGTTTTGAATAAGACAGCATGCCAAAGGTGTTTCTTAGTATGCATTTGGCTTATTCTCATAAATGGGAGATGCACACGCCTCCCTTCATCCTTCTGCCAGACGTGGCTAATCAGGGATGATAGTATTTTAAAACAATAAATAAAATTGCACCACCTCATACACAGCTTGCCTTGGCTGTGGCTCAGGGTTTGTGTTAATTTGGTTAGCTCGCTGGGGGAAAACGCTTTGGGTTTTTTCTTGCTGTGTGGTTTCAGGGAGGCAGTGTGGCTCATGATGGGCACTGTTGGGTTTGCAGGAGACCTGAGTGTCAGGGCTGTGTTGCTCTGCAGCATCATGGTGTCCACCTTCTTGCCTCTCTGGCAGTCCTGCAGACCACGTAAATCTTGGCAGAAATGGGTGCCTGAGTTATCCCTTTCAGCAGTGTGATCTTGGCTGCTCCAGCACCCCCCAGTGTCTCCTGTGAGGCTTGGATGTGGTCAACATTGCATCTCCAAGGGCATTTCCATTGGACATGTGTCCTGCAGGCTTTTTGGGGAGCTGGTTTCTCCCTCCCTTGCCTAGACAGTGGCATCCTTCACTGGCAGCTTCAGAGGTGGGGTGTCTTTTGGAGCAGAGAGCAGTTGCTTTGTGGCACGAGCTGATGCTCTTTCAAGCCATGTGCATGATTTTTTGCAAAGACTTTGTCCCCTCCGGGTGGATGTTGGGGTCAGCTGGGATGAGCAAACCTCTGGCTGCAACTCAGGCTTTGGTTTGGACTCCTGCCATGGATTTGGAGGGCTTCTTTACTCTGGTGGTTTCTTAAAGCAAGTGTGAGACAGCAGAGTTTGTAAATGCAGCCAGGTAGCTGGTTTGGGCATGGAGGCTGCCTGTGAGCTCTGCTTTGCTGGGGTGCAGGAAGAAAAGGGGTTAACCCAGGTGTCAGGTAGGACATGAGCTGCTGGGGCTGGAGGGTGGCCAAATCCACTTCTCCTGTCTTTTGGATTAAGGCCAAAAACTCAACAACCCCTCTGTGGCAAAGCCACATGCAACTATGGGGCTGCCGAGGAGGAGGAGGGATGGAGGGGATCACCTCTTTCCAGCCCACAGGTTCAAGAGGCTGTAGGGGATGCACTGGCCCCATAGGCGCACGTTGCAGGGAATGATTAACTTTTTCAGGCTAAGGAGCTACTTCACCCAGGGATTTTTTGACCTTTTAGGGGACTATTGTCTCCTGGGAAGCTGTTGGTAAACGTAATTAAAGAGGGTTGGCACAGGGCTTTGAAGGCACCGTGCACGCTCCCATCCTGCTACGTGTTACTGTGCGGCGCTATTGAGATACTGAGAATCCCATGATTGGGAGGTTTTGAAGCTGGTGTGGTTTCTTTGCCGTCTGCTCCCGGCTGTCAGGAGGGCGGGGTTAGTGTTTTGTTGGGTTTTTTTGGTTTGGGGATTGTTCTTTTTTTTTTTTTTTTTTTTTTTTTCCCCCCCCAGAGACTTAAATTAACTTCAGACATGCAAAAGAGGGTGAGAAAGTGCTACAGTTAGAAGAAATTTGGCCAGTGGAGGAGTTTCAATTGGCAGGAGAGGATGAGGACTGGGTGTTCAGCACCCCGTATCCGCACTGGCACTGCCCCTGGGATGTATATGCCTATCCCAGTGTCATCTGAATTTTAGGAATGCTTTAGGGTTTGTGTATTACCTATGGTTTTATTGGTGAGGTGGTAGCATCCCATGTCGCTGGGGCTCTCCCCTCTTGCTGGAGGAATTTTCTGTGCTGGGGCTGCATCTCTCCCACTGTGATTGTGCCTTGCAGCCTGGTGGGATAGGGTGAAAGTAAGTTGCTCCTCCAGCAGCAGCCTGGTTTTCAGCTTTGAGTATGGCTCACTCACTGGCTTCAAAATAAGCTAGCAGTGACTTCTGGTGGAGCAGGGGCATCTGGTGCACTGTTGCCAGCATCTAAAAGGAGAAAGAGTCCATCACCTAGGCAAGAACATCCCGGGTTAGGTGGTCTCTGATATCTGTTAGCCCATTGTAGGCAAAGTGTGCAGCTTCTGTGCAATTTCAAGAGACAAAAACCCCACAAACTTTATAAAAGCAAAGGTTAAAAGGTGCAACAAAGTTTTTTGTTGTTTGGTGGGTTTTTTGTTCTTGGGTTTTGAGTTGGTGGGTTTTTTCCTTTTTTTTCTTTAAGATGAGCAGGGGAAAAGCATGCAGGAAATTTAGGAATCTAGGCAAGTACAGAGCTCCTTTGTTTTTAATTAGCTGCCTTGTTTTTAATTGCTACTATGGTTGATACATAACCCAGCCTAAACAAGAATAGCTTATTGAATGGAGGACTGACTATGAAAGGCAATGTGAGGAGAAGAGCTGTTCTTCACAGTTGATATATTTGTATTTCAGTGCTTCATTTAATAAGTCGGTTTCCCCAGGGGGCTGTAGCAAGTAAATCATGCCAACAGATTGTTCTCTGCAAACTGGCTTATTTTTGTAATTAGCAAAACGTTAAAGCTGTAACTGCATAGAAAGCGATCTGGGTGAGGATTTAACATAAAAGAATTAGTAAGCACAATATAATACTTACTCTTTGATAACATTCGTGTTGATTGAATTGGTTTCTGGACAGTTTGCTGTGTGTGATAGTAATTATTTTTCTGCAGCATCGTAAAAAGGGATTTTTTGGTGTGCACAGCAAGGGTAGCAAGGTGTGTTTTTTTAGGGGGAGCTCTTTTGGGAATCACTCCTGCATGGCCAGGTAGACCTGGTGGAGAAGCTGTGCTGGGGGTTAAAGCTATCCTGTTCATCACCAGAAACTGCCAGTACTTCCCCTGCTTAGTTTGCTTTTCTCCTTTGTTTTCCAGTTATATGAAAAATACGGCATCACCATGAGCGGGGTATTGAAAAGGAAGTATGAAGAGCTGGGGGACGACAGTACCTACTGCTCCTCCTCCTCCTGCTCCCCCCTCTCCTCTTCAGCGTCTTCAGGCTGGGAGACAGATGAGGAGAGCTCCCGTGGAGAGCCCAAGCCCAGCTCTGCCTTAACGCCCAGCTTCACCCGTGAGTATCTCCATCAGCCCCTTTCCCAGGATCAGACTTACCCTCTATGTGTTTTTTTCTGTAGCCTGGTGGTGGATTATCACCATGCAGAGATCCCCTTGGAGCACACCTTTATGAGTGGAAGCAGCTGTAACGGCAGCTCCTTGTCATTACACCAATTTGTCTTGGCTTTATAATGGGCCAGCATCCTCAGGGTACTCTTCCTTAGCCCTTCCTCCCAGCATTTATTATTCCTTACAATGTTTTTGCTGAAGTCCAGATTTCCAGGAATATAAAACCAAGGACCTGGGTGTGCAGAGGCATGCAGGTGCCTCCAAGCCACTGTAGCAGGACCAATCCCACCATCCTTCAATCCCCTGTTAAGCTATTCCATAGCCAAAAACTAAACAGACAGCAAAGGCCCGTAATGCTGGTTTTAAAAAATGATTAACCAGTGGTGCAATTACCATTTCAGAACTCGTTTCCTACGTAAGTTGGGTACTTTGCCAAAGAACATGACACGTTTGACATTGCCTCTACTGTTAGTACAGATAAATGCTATTTTGTTTTCCCAGCAATATCAGTTTTGAGAGCTTTTAGGAAAGCACACAGAAGGCAAGGTTGTAAAATCCTTTATCTGCTATGTGAAGGGAAAAATAAAAGATACAATAGGGGAACATCTTCACAGAGAAGAAATCGTCCAACCTAGTAAATTATACTGAACACCCACTGTATATAGCAGTTAAGGTCCACTTAGCAGACATACACAAACATGCAGCGGTCTGAAAAGGCTTTAGAAGTCTTGTAATAATAAAGAGTCTCATTCTTGCTTGTCTTCCCAGGTTTTGTGACAAAACAATGAACTTTTTGTATTCTCTGGCTCAATTGGAAAAGGGTCAGGAATGGGAAAACAATTTTGGAGGAGGGGTGCAGGGAGAGAGAAGCAAATGCCAAAGTGCAGCAGCTCAGCTGATAGATGATTGCGGTGGTTAACGTGCCTTTTGATAAAGAGCTAATGTTTTAGAAGATTGAGTCAAGGTTGTTATGAAAATGCAACGCGCAGTGTGAAGATACCATCAAAGTGACTGCAGGGAGCAGTGTGCAACCCCCAGCTCTTCAGCAGAAGCTGCTGATGCAGCTGGGTGAACACTTGGTTTTTTTTCATGTGAAACTGAAATGCTGTATTTTGGCAAGTGAGACTTGTGAAACATGGGTGCAGCTAACTGTCCAGTCTCACACTTTCCCAGCCCTCAGGGACAGCCAAACCAGCCGAGCCCCTCGGGTTTTCATCAGCCCTTTCAGTTGGCTCCCCACAGTAGGACTGCCTGTGGCTCTGCCACCCAAAGAGGGCTCAGATTCAGCCCTGCAGGAGTCACCAAGCCTTTCTGGGTTATTTTTTCCCATGTTCTCCATGGTGGCAACCAAGGCATGCCTGCATCAGGAGAAAATGGGACCAAAAAACCCTACCACTGAATTTCTGCATAGCTGCTCTTGTCCCTGACATGCTCACACAGCAGAAAAGGCAGCTCTATAACCCGGTACCACTGCATGTTGCTTTCCACAGCCAGCTACATTCGTGGAACTTCATTGACTCTGAAACTGCCCTGGTTAATTAGTCCTGCTTCATCTGCTACGTTTGCATGTGCAAATGTGCAGAACCAGGTATTTCTGGAGAGGCTCCACTTTAAATGGTGTGTAGCGTGTTTCAGCAGTTTTAAGATAAACCAGAGTCATGTATTGCCATGTTTACCCTGGGATCACCTGCATAAAGATTAACATCTTTGCAGCTGCTCTTAAATGAGTCTCTTGAGAATAAGCTATAGATTCATAGTTCCTCCCAGTGGATGGTGAAGGAAGTACCAGAAAAACAGCTTTTTTGGCTATTTTCTGCCATGCAGCACTGGAGTGTTGGTGTTCTGGCACACATGAGCTTTCTGAATGTGGGGCAAGGTGCTTGGGGTTAGAGCAAGCCAGGCATGTAAGATAGTTTGTTACTTGTTCGTTACGCTCTGCTGCATGTGAAGAATAAGCAAATGTATGTTTCCTTGAGGAAGTCGGGGAGGAAAGAGAAGCAGCAGCCATTTCTTAGGGTGAATCTGATCAGTGACTCCAACGCGCTTCAGGATTTGGCTTAGTTTCCTTTACAGCCTCATCCCACCTTTAAAGTGTTAGATCCTAAAACACCAGAAGCCATCAAGTGATGTTGTAGCCTTGTTCTGTCATGTCACTGTTGAGCGAATAATTGCAAGTCCTGCCTGTTTGTAATATTTCCAGCCTGTTTGTAATATTTCTGTCCTGCCTGCAGGATGTCAGTACTGACTTGGTGCTTGTTTTTTCTTCCCCCATTTTTAGCCACATCTATCCTGAAGAAATCCAAGCGACTAAAGAAGAACAATGTGGAGTTTGACCGGGTCACTGTGTTTTACTTCCCACGCTGCCAGGGGTTCACGAGCGTGCCTAGTCGCGGGGGCTGTACCCTGGGGATGGTGAGCAAACACAGCTCCTCCCGGCAGTTCACGTTAGCAGAGTTTTCAAAGGAGCAGGAAAGTGTTCGTCGCGTGAAACTTGAAGAGAAATTAAAAGAGGAGAAGTTGGAGGCATTGAAATGGAAAGTGAGTATGGGGCTGGGTGGATGAGGAGCTGGTCTGTCTCATTAGTTAATGGCCAGTTTTTAGTAGGAGCCTCTCTGAGGCCCGAGGGCATCGGTTCTTAACCCTGTTTGGGTCCCCAAAAAAATTACAGGCTCCTGTGTGGGATTTTCAGCTCAGTTCTCCACCTTTGAAAAGTGATGGAAAAGACCCTGAGCTCCACATGTCAGGTGTCTATCAGGTCTCTGGGGGCTCTGACACCGATGCTGGTCCTGTTAGCCACCAGCATGGGGGCAGATGTTTCCTTTCTTGTTTCTCCTGACCTGGGGGTGCTGATGACTCTTTGTCTCCAACACATCCCAAATGCTTTGCCCATTTTGTTTGCCCTTAGCTAACCATGAACGGCACAAAGGAGTCGGAGGAGGCCAACCAGCTCACCATTGAAGACATCTCTGATGATGACATCGACGTCAGCAATGTGGACCTGGAGGATGGCTTCTTCCTCCAGCCCTACCCTGCCAAGAAAAGACGCGCACTGCTGAAAGCCGTGGGGGTGAAGAAGATCGACAAGGAGGAGAAGCGGGAGCTGCACAACATCCGCCTGTCCCGGGAGGACTGTGGCTGTGACTGCCGGGAGGTCTGCGACCCGGAGACCTGCAGCTGCAGCTTGGCAGGCATCAAATGTCAGGTACTGCCCTCGCCTCTGGGCATGGGGAAAAAGCTGTGGCTCCAGCTGATGTGTACATTAAAGCAGGGAGGATTTGAGCAAGCAGGATACAGTTAGGACAGCCTGTAAAATACATCTGTTCCCATCTGTACTCAGAGCAAAGCAGGCAAGAAAAGCTCTTGGAGATGCTCCCCAGGCTGCAAAGCAGACGCTGCTCAGAAGCATCCGATTCCCAAATCACACATGCAGTTGTCCCCACGCTGCCGCTGCAGCCCCGGGGATGTGCCTGAGCCTGCAGCATGAATGCACCCACCCTTTCTGTCCGCATGAGAACTGTACCTGCTTGGTCTCCTGTTGGAGATGGGCCACATGCGAATGTCTTTGCAAATGAAAGCTTCTTGCTCCTCACACGAGGCTGTGATTTATCCTCCTCCCCCTGCTTTTATTTTTAGTTTTATTTCCCCTTGGTGTGTCACAACTCTTAGCGTGTGCAGGCAAACGTGGGAGTGCCAGCTGAGCGTCAGCCCACAGCCAGCTCTGCAGACCACCTCTGTATTCCATTAGCTTGTTATATTTTTCATGTTATTTGTTATGGGTGCCTGCCCAGCTGTGCTTGGGGAGCCATATGCAGTATTCGGGGTGCTGCTGCCTCCCTTGGTACCTGCTTGCAGGCTGGAGCTGGTGTAGGGTGGGTGTACACAGGCACGCGGGTGCAGACAGGCGGACCGGTGCTCCATGAGCGGGTCACAGCCCCCCTCTAGCGGCTGCTGCTAACAGGGACATAAAGGTGCTGCAGATGCCTGTTGAGCGGTTTGTCCTCATCTCAGCTAGGGGCAGAAGCTCATGCTATAGATCAGGTATTAAATACCATGATGCAATATTTAAAAAACTCATGTTTGCCCCTTTTTGTCTTCTTTTTGAGCATTATATTTTGCTTTTTTGAAACCTTTTAACTTCCTTCAGTTTTACTGAAACCCAACTTTTTAATGACAACCCTTCAAAAGAACAGGGTGCCTTTTAAAATTACTTTATTATGTTTTTTTAGCCTGCTTTTAAACCCCGCAGCTGTTACTTGGTTCCTCAGGGTGGGTGAGTCATGGGCAGTTTCAATCCTGCACCTCTGGGTTTGGTCCTAACCCTCCCCTCTGCTTCCCCCTGTGCCAGATGGATCATACCTCCTTCCCCTGCGGCTGCACCAAGGATGGCTGCGGCAACACTGAGGGCAGGATCGAGTTCAATCAGGCCCGTGTGCAGACCCACTTCATCCACACCATCATGAAGCTGGAGCTGGAGAAGCAGCAGCAGAGCAGCGAGAAGGTGGCAGAGGCCGAGCCCCCCTTTCGGGAACGGCTCCCACCATTGGGATGCGCAACAGGGAAGGGCTCTTTGGAGGAGCGTGCAGTGCCGCTGGCACCCGCCTTCCAGTTCAGCCCTGACCTGGAGGCTTTGGGAGAGAACAGCTGCAGCAGCGACATGACGGACTCCTCCATCTCCTCCCACCCCAGCGAAGACCTGGAGGAGCCCTATGAGAGCCTCCCCTCTGACAAATCCCAGTCGGATGTGGATGACGATGGCTTGGCACGCATCCTCCACTTCAACGACTCGGATGCTGAGGAGGAGGGTGGCCATGGCCAGGATGACCTGAGCTGCTTCCACCCCACCGACTTCTTCATCGAGGACCACAGCAGCGAGGCCAAGCCTGTTCCTGGCCACTTGTCCCACCTCTCTGAGTGCCTGGATGAAAATGCCAATCAGGATGGTGGGGGTTTGCTGGAGGATCCTGCCCATGCGCGGTGCGATGGACTGTCATGCTGCGCCTCATCCCCAGCCGAGCCCTGCTCTAAGAGCTACGCTGACCTCAGCCTTTCCTCTGACTCCTTGGATTTCTTCCAGTCCTTCTCAGACTATAACTTGGGACCCCTTTACAACTCCTTAAAGGAGTACGAGAACCTCGATAACTTCTCAGCGTTACAGTTTCAGTTGCCTAATTTCCCAGGTTTCCCACAAGCTGGAGATCAGGGCTCCTGTTTCTTGGAGTCCCTTATCGGTTTGTCCGAATCCGTCCCCGAAACCCCGGCGCCTTTCACAGACAATCAACTTTTGGAGGATGCCATCAAGTCGTCGTTGATGGAGACGGTGAAAGTGTGAAATGCCCATGTGGCTCGAGCAGCAAGGAACAGCCTGAAGGAAAACCGAAGAGTAGTCAGATGGGCAAACTTTCACCAAAAGGATGATGCGTTACTCAAAAATAAGGAGGAAAAAAAAACAAACAGAAAAGGACTTTCTAAGCAAACAAACTATTTTTGGTCTTTTTAGAACGTGGACGTTTTGACATACTGCAGCTACAATCAGTTCTCTCGCTGTTTGTGCAAAATTTCTAAACTTTCATGATGGGGTGGGGTGGGGAGGGAGGGAAAAAGACTTTCACGTATGAATTTCTTTGTGTTTTGTATGAAAAGACCTGTTGAGAAATACTCCTCGCTAGCATTGCCAGTCGTACACGCAGCCCCTTCTAGAAATGTTTCTGTGTTGCAGGAACTTTTAAAGACAACTTTTTGAAGCTGTATTTATTGTGAAAATTTGTGGTTTGCGTAAGAGTTAGCCCAACACACTCTTACGTTTAAATCGGACAAGGTTTACAAAAGAGATCCATACACTATATACATAATCATTCTTCATCTATTTATTGCAAATTCCAGAATTTAACTAGCCACCGAAGCTTGAACTAGCATGAAACCTTATTTAAATTGGTAATACCTCAGATGTATTATGTGTACAATCATTTCTTTTTTTTGCATAATATATCTGTATTTATTTATTTTCTACCTGTAGTACATGAATAGCACTGTGGTTTGTCAATGACCTGGAAGGGCAATAATGTCTTCAGCAGCACCCATCCTGTAGATGACCATGGTTTTTCTGAGTCTGAAAGATGGTGGCTGTTTGGTCTTATCTTCACATTTCCAAAAGAGCCGAATGCAAGCGGCTGGGAAGGATGGGGAAAATGTTTGTGCAACATCCTTTGGTTTCCATCAGTAGACATGATGATGATGGTGTCTGATCTCCATAGTACTGTGATGGAGAGCACAACATGCAAAACCTTCAACTGTTCAAGAAATAACATGAACTAGCTCTAAACAAACAAAAACAACCCAAACCCTTTTTATAAATTATTTAATAATTTATTTAATCTCCTAAGGATTTGGCCATGAGATCTTTCCCGATCAATTATGGTGCCTGAATATGCAGAGGAACTGTTAGCAAGGGTGGGGATGTAAGTTATAAGGACCTTTGCAGCCCCAGGGGGTCTTTGGGAGAGCAAAGCCAACAACAGCAACACTGTGCTCATGCTCCTCAGCAAGTGCTCCCCAATAGCAAGGATATCACAGCTCCAAAATCTAGTGGGTCAAACTATTTATATATTTTTTATATAGGTAAATAAAAAAAATAAGTGGATATGAAGGTTATTGGGTTATTTATCCTTTGAGTACAGGTTTAGAGGGAAGAAAGAATAACACCTGAAAAGAAAGCTTGAAAAGCTAAAAAAAAAA